GGCACACTCTGCAATTATAGCCTGAGTCTCGGCTGGGCCCTTCTAAAGGGCCTTATCCTGTCAAGCATGCAGCGGATGACCCCGCTGAAGCTTCGAGCCGAAAATGCTGCGGCCGACCACAAGCAAAGCATGGTTCATCCGATCTTTGGAATCACAGCAGCAATTTCTTTTCGAGCAGTTCAAGCCAGTGAGAAGCGAGTAGCAGCCTGTAGNNGATCTACCTCGGAAGATCGAGCCTTTCAAAAAACCCTCGCTCACTCGAGCATCGCCTTGATCCTTTTGCTGTGGGCAGCCACCGTCACGGCATCAGCTTCCAAGCTCGGCAATTGATCGATGCACCGCTTGAGGACGTTGTCGTCTATGGTCTTCTGCCCCAGACAGGCACCGGCTTCCACGGACAAAGCCCTTGCTTCTGAAAGTTTGTCGGACAGCTTTGTTGCGAAGCGGTTGAACTCCTCACTCTTGTCCTGGTAGGAGCTGTCGTTGGAAGCCTTGAACTTCAACTGTGCAGCCAAGTCTTTCACAAGCTGCTCCTTGCCCTGCAGAAGCTTCCTGGCCTTGTCGAAGTCTTCGCACTTCTTCTGGAAGTCGGCGAAGCCCGGCTCTGCTTTCACCACGGAACCGGAGGAGGCTTCCGTCTCCTTGTCTAGGAGCTGGAAGGCGACCTTGGGGGCCTTGAGCTNNNCTTCACTTCGGTGCAGTTGAGCTGCTGCTTCCTGTAGTAGTACCGCATCTCACCGCACTCTTTGAAGCTTTTTTGCCGTGGGTCTGTTTCGTCCCAATTGTCGTCACTCGGAAAATTCTCGAGCATCTTCAGCAAGACCTTGTTGTCGACCGGCAGGCCTTCCTCCTTGGCGATGTCGAAGCCTCGCATGGATCGAAGGAGGAAGGCTGCAACACGTCGGGAAAACAATTATATATACAACCTTAGCAGCAAAACATATTTATGACATATCCAAGAATCGGCTGCACCAACCCTGGAGACCCTTGCTTTTCTCCGTGTCTTCCTTGCTCACGGTCTGGCTTACCCAAGAGGACCACTTCTTGCAGGTCTTGTCCTGCTCGAAAAGGTCTAGCATCTCGCTTTTCTTGTGGCTGTCGTTGCCAAGCGACTTGTACTCTTCGGCAAACTGTTCCTTGATTCGCAAATCCCTCAGGGTGGGATCGTCCTGGTCGACACCTTTCTTCTCCAGCTCAACGATCTTCTTCTTGGCATTCTGCAACTGCCCAAGCATGTTGCTCTGCCTCCTCTTCTTGTCTTCGGCCGCCAGCTGAGCAGCGGTCTTCTTGGGTGCGGCTTTGTTCTTCGGTTGCTTCGGAGCCATGGCTCGGACTAGCAAGG